AAAAAAAAGTCAAACCATCCCTGCTACCTTCTCTGTTTTTCAGTTCAGCAGCCAAATTCACAAATCAAATGTTCACATTGCTGTACTTTCAATCTCAATTCTTTTATAGACACTGTGTACTGTCATTTAGAGCGTGATCCAAAGCTTAACTGAAGCCATTGGAAAGATAACCAAGTTTCCATGTTTTAAAGAAGAGGGGTAAAGTGGTGGGAATTTTCATTAAGTGATTCCAGACTGCTGGAGACAGTCTCAAGTAGTTAAGTTATTGCTACCCACTGTCAGAAGTTACATTTAGAGATTACATCTTAAAACAGAGACAAAAAGGTAATTTTTAACAGAATACAGTTTGGTTTAGGAGTCTCTAGCACTCGTGTGACAGTCTTGACTTCTTCTGGTTCTTGATGAGGAGAACAGGCTTGAGAGATGGAGGATTTCTTTATTACCCTATTATATTTCTTGGTGGAGACACTGGGATAATGTCATTTATATTGTATTACTTGTATTGTGTGTTTTAATGGATAGCGGATGCTCAGGAGTATTTTATTTCTGTAGGTGCTAAATGTGGCAAGTACAGCGCCTTCCCTCATGTCAGCAGTAGGGTGTGGAAGCAATCTGCTGGAAATTTATAAATTAATCTCCTTTATAAATATTGATTTGAAAAATCATTTTTTTAATAGGAATTCAATCTTTTCTTGAAGTCCTTAATAGCTGACAACTCCTCTGCTCCGTTAGTTTGTACCCTGTTCTCTACCGTCCCTGAATATATCACCATTAGTAATGAATACTTAAGTAAAGCAGTATTGCTTTTTCTCTTGGTAAAATGTGTGACTTTTCAAGAAATAAGTTTCTAAGTAAAAACTACTTTCAGTATATTCATTTGCAGAAAGCTAATTTATGGAGTACACTAACTTTTTATAAGTATTGCTATTACAGCTTTTTGTCAGCAACTCACCAGGCAATGCCTATCTAGAGAAGCAATTAAAGATGAGGGACTTAACTGTTTGGACAGTTGAGAATGGGTACAGCACCTGCTCAGATGTCTCCTTAAACCTCTTATTGAAGAATGATTTCACACTTTCAACTAGTAAAATTTTTCTCTCACTTTTCAAAGGGCAGTTGCCAGCACTGGAAAACATCTCTCAGCACGCACTGATTGCAGCAGTGAAGGCAAATATTAGGATGGGTGAACAAGGATTAGGTCTCATAATCATACAGAATGGGCCATATCTCCAGATAGCAAGCCTTATTGAGAAAAGCTTTGCAGCTAACGATGGAAAGCTAAAACCAGGTAAAAAGAACCTACAGTGATATTCAAATTTAGTAACAAGGGAAATATTCTTGTTCTGCATTTATGCTTTGAGCCTGTCTCTGATTTATTTACACTTACACAGATCAAAAGAAACTCAATTTAAAATTACAGAGAAAAGAAACTGGCACAAACTGTATAAAGCTCAGTGCCAGCATTCCACTGTAATGAAATACCTGTGTTCCTAAAATAGCTGATATGGGTGACTATTTCATAATCAGATTGGGATTTAAGTCTATATATTGTTCTCTAGCAAAACGAGATTTCTTGTTCATCAGCAGGTTTGTCCAAAAATAGTTTATTACCTTTATACAGCAACTAAACTTGAATAATATTCTTTGTTCAGTGCATTATTGTTCAAGCAATTTCACTCTACAAGTAACACAAAACTTCCCAAAGGCTTGAAATTAATTGGCCTTATTGTTTGCTTTTTATTTCTCTGTGTTATACAGAATAGTTACGAAGTGGCAATGGAGTCATCTCTGTGCTCTAACAATCCATGCAGGTGTTCATCTGCGAAATGCTTTAAACCTGAAATGTGGCATATCAGTACTAACAGACTATTACAAGTTATCAAGGCTTCTTATGGAACATCAGACACCTATATTAAACTTGTAATTGAAAGCTCTGTAAATTTGACTGCTTCACACAGGTCCCTAGACCAATTACATTAGACTCATGAACTACAGTTTGGGGACGATAGCGTGCTATGTTATTACCAAGTATTAAATTGTCTCTAATGTAGAAATCTGTGAAGCTATGACTTGAGCATAATGAAGTCATTTAGAAATTTACTGGCTGTACAGTGAAAATGCATATCTTTAAATTAGAACAATTTTCCCAGCATTGCCTTTATCATTTGGGCAGTTCTTTCTTCTCGCACCTTTCAGAGAGAATTAGAATTCCAAGCACGAGGAAGAAAGATCTACTTGTTTGATGAAATAAAAACCATCGAGTGGAGTTCTTAACCTCTGTTAGAAAAGGCTTTGCACTTTTCAGTATAAAAATCAGTGGAAAAATCCTGAGCATAAAATAGAAATTGATTTGAACTAAGTACTTTTTTTTAAAATTATTATTATCTTGGGAGTTGATCGCTTTCATCTATTCCCTAAAAAAACCCTATCGTATACAAAAACATATGTATGATACTGACTTGGTTGTTGGTTTGTTTGGGGTTTTTACATCTATAAGGTAAAAACCACAGAATATCACTGAAATTAAGTAGTTCTTTTTGCAACAGTTTGAAAAAGGCAAGCTCCAACAGCGTTTTCAATAAGGGCTACAAGAACAAGGAGTCAAATTATTTATGGCATGTGATGTGTTTGATTTACTGCAGCAAGTATTGAACAGTTTAAAGGGGGTTCAGGGCTGGTAACAAACATTGCCCCTTTGTAGCTGATCTTAGTTTTTGTGGTCAAAAGGAACAATTTGAGCATGCTTCATGGAGCACCTGGATCTCACTCAGCACATTCCACACAAAACCAAACAAACATCTGAATTTGTTCAATTCATGTTTAGAGTGAACTTACAAAAACTTTGTATTTAAGACCAAAGCTGTAAAATTTTGCAGAAAAGATAGGATATCTCATAATGATACCACAGGCAGCACACTTATTTTGGCATTCATACCAATGTACAGAGCATGGGGCTTGAGAAAAATAAGATGCACAAATGCACTGCTTAGGAGTTTTGTTAGGTTTTATCTTTATGGACTTATTTTTTCGGTTAATTAAGATGAGTATTATCTGTACAATTTAAAACTGGAACATACAAGAACATTTTATTACTGCTTATAGCTAGAAAGAGCTGGTGTCATTCTGCTGACATCAACAGGGAGGAGGTAGAAATTAACACAGGTAGTGGGAGGCACTAATGTCTTAAAATCCTACAGTTAGACTCACCAGACTCATGTGTGCATGTACATGTCCTGTTCTCCATGTCAGCAAGAAGAAATGGGGCTGCTTAGTATGTGTGTTTCCTCAAAATACCTTCATAGTGCAAGAGGTTATCTCCACATAAGTCTTCCTTGGCCACTGATGGATATCACTCACAAAACTGATAGGTGAACTGAAAAGCTGGGTGGTTCAGACTCTAGATGCTGGAGCAGAAGAACAAAATTACTTGCATCTGCAGTTCAGAGATGGCTTTGACTTGCCACAACAGTGTTATCAGGACAGTATGGGCAGAAAAAACAGAATTCTAAAATAATCTATTAAAAGCTGAGAGCATCTTGCAGGTATTTTAAAGTGTAAGTACCTTTTTGTCTATGCATTTTGAAACGTGTGATTTGGGTGATTTATCTTCCAGTTTGAGGCTGACAACCTACATAAAACTGCTGGTAAAATGTTTTCTGTTGCTTTTTTTTGTATCTGCTATCCTGGTACTTGTTCCAGAACTTGTTTGCACCCCAGTAGAACCGGTATCTTGTGATAAGCTGGAGTGGAGAGAGGGTGTGATGATGATGGAGTAGAATGAGTAGTTAGCGGAAAAAGTGAATGGAAAAATGGTAGTTAATAGTTCAGGTAAACAGTTTTAAAGCCTGTAAATGTTTGCTACAGGAATTTTTAACCCCAAAGGGTTAAGAAGAAACTTGAGCAGATGGAGAGAGGCTCCTTGCTCTGCCTGATATGGCAGCAGACAGCTGTAGGGCTAGTTTCAATGCCCTATGCTGTTCTGTTACAGTTCAGTACACAATGTTTACTGATACTGCTCCTCTGTGCAACATTCTGTCAGGCTGCTGATAGAGCTGTAGTCTGCTTTGCACTGGCAGCAGGTGGTAAGAACATTACGTGCAGCCTTATCCCTTCAAACAAACACACACAAACCACATTACCACCGCTTTCTGCTGGAACTCCTCAGGTAGATTCTGCACCAGCTCTTGTAGGCACCTCCTAAGTCTCCCCTGGCCTCGCCTGACGTTGTCTCGCAACGTGCCCACGTGTTGCTGTTTTCAGAGCGGACAGACAGCCACCAGCCACCCAGGAGAGCCAAACCCTGGACACCTCCAGGGGCCCAGACAAACATAAGGTTACACAGCTGTTACAGAGACTCTCCAGCATCCACCTAAGTAACCTTAGCCACTGTGGAGGAAGGGGTATGCTTGGCTCCATACCAACACGTGAACAGCAAGGTGACATACAAGGGTAGGCAGCAGGGGTGTATGGGCAGGGTGTTCCAGCTGTGAAAAGTACAGGGGAGCAATAGAAAGAGGCCCGCAGAACTGCTAGGAGTGCGGCTATGTAACCTCAGCTGAACCTTGGTGGAGTCTGTCTGGTCCCAAGCAGTGGTCCGAATCAGAGCAATCACCATTGTACCTTTACCTTGCCTAAAAAACCCCACACAAATGGAAGGTAGCACTGAATAGGCGATCTGAAGTTTAGCATATTCACTCAGAAAAACCCCAGAGGAAACAAGTGAACTGCAGCTTTCCTTAGTGTTGTGAAAAGGCTAGTTCTTAACAGAGCTAAAAGAACTTTCATGAAAATAGAAAGCAAAAAAAAGTTGCATCCAGTTGCAGAGCTGCTAAACACATGCTTTTACATAAAAATGTGAAAGTTTAGTGGTTAAGAGTACATCTTTTGTAATAAGAACATTAAAAAAAAATTAACAAGTCTCTTAAACTGATTGCTGTCAATTTTCTTCCTTGGCAGGTGACATTCTAATAAAAGTTGGACACGCTAATGTTTTAGGATGGACTCTGCGAGACCTTAGGCAACTCCTGCACAATATTCCTATAGGAACTACTCTACAAATCAGGGTTTATAGAGATTTTGTTGAAGTACCTCCACACTGGCAAAGTGCAGTTGAATTAATCCCTGAAGTAAAGCTTCCTGTGATGACAGCAGGGTAAGAAATAAGTATTGCACATAACTAGACTTTCACACCTTGCTTATTATTCTAGCAAGAAAGAAAAAATAGTGTAATAGTTTTTACATTTTAGGATAAAATGTTAGTCTAAATATTTACTTTCATTTATTTTTTTGGAAATAGAAAACTGTGATTTGAAATCAACAAATACCAAAAGAAAAGTTTACTTTTCTAGTTACAGTGAAGACGGGGCCACGACAAACACATTTTAGACATGCCCTTCCTGCCTCCACAGTGAGCATTAAAAGTCTGGCTGGCAATAACACCACCGGTCAAAGAGGCCATGTCGATTTGTAACAGCCAAGGATCCAGATAATTACGAGTAGCTGATGACACCAAGACAGAGGTCTTGCTACCACCATGTGAAAAGCTTGTCTGTTTCTTAATCAGTCTAACTACTGACAGTGGTTAATGATTATGACTCTTAAAATTAAACTTCAGGAAAAATAAACTCTCCTTTTGAGAGCTGCTGCATACAGATACTTTTAAAAATACATTGCTCTCAATCCTGAAGGTGGCTCATATAGTAAATATAATTAATCTAGATGAGAAACAAATTTTCTTGAGGCACAACGTTTTAATAGAAACCTCAGAGGTAGAGGAAGGACCAGAAGTATTAAAAGGGGATAATTAGGCTAGATCAGCCCAAAGGAAGCTCACGCAGCAAGGGGCTTTTCAAGAGATGAAATGAAGATATGATTAAATAAATCAAATTATTTGCAATTCTGAAGGAGCAGGAAAAGGAGAGCTTGCTTTTCTGTTGACTCAATTACAACTTAGCTATTAGTTTAGAGTCCAAAGGAAATAGTTTGCAAAGGACTACGGATAATAGTATTAGTTTGGTATTAGAGGAGCTTCAGAACTAACAAACTTGCCTTTAAAACATGTATTTGAAAAAAAACTTAAGATGCCATTATTAGTTAACTAAATTACTATGTTAAAGTAATACCATGCTGTGTATTTTCAGGACACATGAAGACACTGAGGATGAAAACTGTACCGGGTCCAGTGGTGATGATGATGAGGGTTTGGAAACTTTTTGGTATAAATCTTCCCTGTCATGCTGTGGAGAGTTCACTGGTAAGTTACCACCAATATCCAAAATTTGGCAGGTATCTGATACAGGCCAGACACTTAGAGGAGGCACAGACCATGTCTGTGATGCTGTACTCCATACTGATGTTGATGCATTGTGCAATCTTAAGTTTGATTCTAGAAGTGCTAGACCTCCTTCAGACAGGGCTATGGAAAACAGCGAGGCCAGTTCCTCCTCCTCTTCTGTACTGGATACATCCTAGCTGGAAGAATTTGCCTTTGTTTCAGAATAGCTCAAAACCTGATTTCTTCAAAACCTAGATTTCTGAAGTTGTATTGTATCTGTTTTCATTTAATACATGCCTAGACTTCCAAAAAATCTAAAGGTTCTAAGATACTTGAAATGATATATAACTATATAAAGCTGGTTTAGCAATGCCCTCCCTCCCCTCAAAGATGTCCATCAATGCTACTTGTGGTGAAGACATTCAGAAACACCACTGCTGCTAGCCCCAGGCACCTAGCAGGTGCGAGCTTTCAGAAAGTCTAATATATTAAACTTTGAAGATAAGTTTCTTCATTTACTTGACACAAAGATGACGGAAACAGTTCTATCAAGAACTTTGCTGAACATTCAAGAACACATGGACAACTGGTGGCAATTACAATATTTGCATCACGGTGATCATTTTTGATACCTATTTTTTACAGTGACTAAAAGTCACCTTGTTTTCTCACTGTAGTTTTACCTTCAGTGTACAGAGCCAGACATCAGCATTTTAGATACCCTCTTCAGTGGAAAAAACTCAACACAAAATGTATGAACTCAGCACTTTATTTGATGAGTGCAAGCTCACAATTAGTCCTGATTCATTTTCTGAAAGAACCGAATTCATAAATAACAAGTTAGTAGTAATTTATTTAGAACGTAGGTGACTTAGAGCTCAGGTCCATCTTGAATCCACATCCCAGTTTTGTTTTTACAGCTCATCAAGAAAAGGCGTATTTCCCAAATCTCCACTAGCTGCCATTGATTTCTTCCCACTGACAAACTTCTTTGCAGCCTGAAAATAAACCAGAAAGATGGATATAAGGAAATATTCACTATAACAGAGTTTATCTTGCTGCTCATAGCATCAGCTTCATGTTATTAAAACAAACAACAAATCCCAACACTACTGTAGTACTTCATCAAATAAACAATTTTCCTTTTGCTGTCTCTAAACTTACTTGCTTCTAAACCAGCTCCTTGTTACTTTATAATCTAAACAGGACTGGCAGAATGACAGTTGGATATAAAAGGCATAAACTCTGAAAATGGTTATTCCTAGATTTATTATTACACCACAAGATACAGTAGATCTCTCCTTACTACTAAAGCTATTGCTAGATGCTACTGCAACACAAATTAGTGATGACTGAAAAAACAAGTTTTATATCTTAAAATTTCCCTTTCTGATGGATTTCTGTATGAAGTTTGCTTCAAGTACAAGCAACAAGATAATCTGGAATAGCAATGCAGTTACATCAATTTATCATTGAAAGCCTAATTGTTTATTATGCACACCAAATATTCCAGGCTCAGGAATCCTAAAAGCCTTGACACAGAAGTGCCTGTACTGGCACTAATATCAAGTTTGTCACAAATACTAGTTGGCAGTTTTCAGTAAATTTAAGTGCAGTAGGTTAGAATTTCACATACTCCCAGCTACACTAGTTTTACCGTGTATTGGATTGAAGGGTCTTCTGTTAATAAAGTAAGCAAAGACATCAAAAGATAGGCAGCTGGGATTTGTAACTGGGTTGCTGTTTGGTTTTTTTTTTTTTTAAAGCTGGTGTGTGTGTGTGTTTATAAACACACACAAATGAGCACCAGTGTTGTATTAAAAACCTTACACAGGGATTAAGGAACACCTGTGGATGCCAACACCACATACTTACATTCACAACATCAGCAGTGGCCACAGAGTCAATTTTTTGAGCAACAACAGATGGTGATGTGTGTGTGCCAGAAACCAATGACTCGGAGCCAATTTCATTCAGTAACCCTTCTGCAGTCTCCACTGACATCAAATAGGTGGCTTTCAGCCGGTTTCTGTCATCAAACAAAGCAGCAAGGATGAGTGAGCATGGAAGTCCTGTTACTACCTTCCCCACTGCCCCCGTAAGTACAAGGAGTTTTTTGTGCTTTTTAAGTTTTCAAGGTTCCTCTCCATTTTGAAAGGTTTTTCTTTTCAAGTATGGAGGAATTCTGTAGTTAGGGAAGAGGCACCACAAATAGTCCCAGCAGGAAGACAACAGGGTACTTGAACACCTACTGCCTTGGAATGATCTCTGGCTCAGGATTTGTTTCGGTTTGAAGTAACTAATGCAGGTACCCCAGGAGTTAGACAAACTAATCCATCAAGTTTAACAGCTAGATTTAAAATTGATTCCGGTTTCTGATCAAAACCAGATGTAAGCAGTAGAATTTTGTTGTAAGAAACAAAGCAGCAGTGAATGCAAACAGTTAAGCTCCTTGTGCAATAGTTCCATGTTCTTTCTGTTAAAAGACGGCAACTTCATACTGTTTTTTCTGTTTCACGCAGTCTCACTGCTACATACAAAAATCTTATTTTTATAAGCTAGTCCTTGTTTTTTAAAAGACAAAATGGCAGAAAATGGTTTATTCCAACAACACATGATTAAGTAGCTTGGTATTTTTACTGAATTGCAAGAGTTTGCAAATACCACTGACCTTGAATTTGGTTTTGGGGTATTTATTTTTGACCACTAAAGGAAAAAAAGCAATATAGAAAATATGTGAAGCCATTCCAGAATGGAAACTCAAAAAAGAGAAAAAAGCCATAGCACTGTAACTCCCTAATACCAGGCAGCTTTGTCACAAAAAACCCAAAACAAAACCACAAAACAAAAACCAACGCACAAAACTAATAACGCACAATATAAAGGTCCAGAATTCGTTATTTAGCTACTAGTGACTAAGGCACAACCAGTCGTGTCCAGGCTATCATGTTGTGTGCAATCAAGCTTTACATGGAGTCTTGTAAGTATTTTATATATGCAACAGTCAATATTTAATTCTGCTACCTGAGTGAATCTGTATGATATTGCTGTTTTGCACAACTACGGTTTTAGAGGCTCAGTGCAGTTTAACTCTACTTGGAGATCAAGCACCAACTAACGTGCACAACCCTCTAAATCAGAAACTCTAAAACTTTGTTGGTATTACTGCATCTCTAATAGTAATTTTCCCCCATCTCAGATATTCCTAGGGGCATGCATTTTGAGCACTTGGATGTAACATCACTAATTCAGTGCTTTACACTTGCAGGCCCTCATTACTAATATTCTTTGAAGATGCAAAAGATTCGTTAATATAATTGTTTTGGGAATTGCTGCAGTGCGACTGTAAAGGGAATTATTTAAATAATGCAATTTAGGATTCTAATTTAAATACATCTTAATACTACAGAGTATGATTGAAAAGACAACATCTGCTGATACTTGCTAATTTCTTACATTGAAACCGTTTTCAGAAAACATTAACACTTCTTTAGCAAGTTTTTATTAAGAAATACCACTAGCAGAGAATCAGTATAGCTTGGGGGGGGGGAAGTATTGACAGTGCTTCAGTTTTAACCGAAGAAAGCGAGCAGTTCCCCATGGAAGTAATTACAGAGCAACGATAAGCCTTACTGTACAGAACAGTCTAAGTGTTTGACAAATAGCTACACGTTAAGAAACTCTTGGCGACACACAAGACAGTTCTTACATGCACTTACTTTGCCTTTGTGACATCATCATCAGTGACACTGCCCTGAGCAACTGCCTTTACCTGGTTCAAAGCAGCTTTAATGACCTAAGGAAAATGAAATCATATAAGATTTCTCCCTGCATTAAATTTCAACGTGTTATTTCTATTATCTGACATCTTAGAAACTTCAGGGGAGAGCAGCTGGCCACGTTAGGATTGTCTGCCTGGACTCAATTCCCAAC